CGACGGCGGGTGAGGGCGAGGGAGACTAGGTACGGGCACGGAGTTGCATCGTGCGAGGTGGAGAGGGTAACCTAGCATCTGATACCATGTTGGATGAATAGCAACTGACTTTACTGAGGGCCAAAGGCCAATACATATATATGTGTAGTAAAGTGCAGAAAACCCCTTATACAATGAGAATATACCGAAAAGAGACTATACACATCTAACAATTTCATCCCTCACTTCTACACAAAAACAGCGTTGAGAGTGGACATGTGCAGATAAATAGTGGCTACGCATTAAGCTAAAAAGCTAAGAAACCCCCATGGGAAGAAATCATGTTCGTTATAGAAAAAGCAAGGAATGTACATTCGCCAATATTACACGGGATTATGTTTTATATATCAGCGAATACAATGCTGATTTGATGCAGCATCAATTGGTCCTTATTGATGGTGGCATTGGTGTCAGTTAAGTGAAATCACAATTAAGACATTCCAGAGAAAACGACGTAACACGCCTGCTTATTATTACTGAAAAGTATATCATACCTCCAAATCATATGGTTCCTTCATTTCATCAGTGTCTAGCAATATTAGTTTTGGAGCTTTCCCTGATGTCTTTAGTATGCCCCTGATTACTGAAAAGAGCAAAACTGGACTGGCTCTTTCCCTGATGTCTTTAATATGTCCCTCGCTAATCTCCAAAAAGGGTTTCCCCGATAAGAGAAGGTGCGCTGTCAGTGATTACCACGTCATCTAAAATTCTGAAGCAAGTATTGTGCAAAGTGAGTTTTTTTATACCGACTGTGTGTCCAATTCATGCTCTTGTATTGTAGAAAGTGAGTTTTCTTACACTGGTTGTGAGTCCAATTCATGCTCTTATATTGTAGAAAGTGGGTATATTGGAATAAGTGAACAAAGTCATGGAAGTTGCATCTTGCAACCATTTCCACTGAACTGAGGTCACCTGATTAGTATTGCCAGACAATTTTTTTCTCTGAGAATATAGCAAGAGATGAAGAGAGTAATTAATTTTCTTCACTAACAATAAATGGGAAACGTGCAATAAATATATTCTGTTAACACAAACCAAACATTCAGCTGAGCAACGACTTGGAAACATACCAAGAAGTGAACAAGGGTCACCTAGAGACTACATACAGTCCTCAACAGACAATTAGTGCTAGTTGCTGTATACCTGAACACACATAACATATTCAGTAGCATCATCTAATACTGAAAAATATTATTTCAGCACTTTATATGAATCTCAAATCTCAAGTTGAATTCACGACAGAATATCTTACATAAGTGAAATACTAGCTAGGAGCCAGAATTAAGGAAGAAGCATATAGGAGTATATACCAAACAGCATGTATAGACAGGTAGTAGTCTGAAGAGTTCAGAGTTTCATTGATGAAATGAGTTTCAAGACAATCTTCAGATTAAGTAGAGTACATACAACAAACTGTATATGTAACTTCCAGTTTCCCATAGCCAAATTACAAGTTTACAACAAGAGCGACAACGACCACAGCAACGAAGACAACAAACCGAGACACTGACCTGGAGCATGGCATATGTTGATGGGCAACAAAGACTCAAAATAAAATTATGGAAATATGATGAGATCGAAATCTAGAAACCAACTCCTGGTAGATCAATGGAGGTACCAAATGGACGGTGAGCTGTCCGAGGGATGCGCCCATGGCAGGCAGCGCTTGATTTCCTCGTCGTCAGGGGAGCAACTCCAACCACCCATGTCGGTGCAGGGATATTCGTTCTGCTGGAGAACGCTCATCGGACGGCCACCATAGACATCGTCGAGGAAGTAGATGTAGCCCGGATTGCCGCTGCGCCCTGTGTCGAAGGCCTTGGAGCAGCTCCGGCCGACAAAGAGCACCTGCCCCTCCATCTTGTGGAAGCGCCAGGAGGTTCTGCCAAGTTGCTTCTCTAGCCTGAAGACCTCGAACCGCCTAGTGCCGCCTCTCGCCGGATCGACGAACCTCTTCACCATTAGCAAATCTTCACCGGAGGCGGCAGGCAGGAGGTAGCGGGAGACGATCTCCCCAGGCGCCGCGGGGGTCATCTGGTCAGCACAGCACTGGTAGACAAGATGTTGAACAGTAAGCGCACCGTCTGCGCCGGCAATCTCCGGCCTGTAGCAGAAGAGCTGCTCACAGGGGTTGACGGCCCAGAAGCATCCGTCGTGGTACGTCAGGTCCTGGGCGTCACACGGAGCCCCCAGCGGCGCCGGCGACCAGCAGTCCATGCCCGGGCGCCAGAACGCCATGGTGGTCTGGCCTGTCGTCAGGGCAGCGACGACGCATGCAGCCGACGGCGGCGGCGCGGACACGGCGGCCGCGCGGATCATTATGGGGCACCTGATGACGTTGAAGTTCGGCGGGACGCGCCCGCCGTTCAGGGTGACGCGCACGTGGTCCGGGAGGAGGACGCGCTCGCCGGAGCGGAGGTTGAGCAGGGCGTGGCCGTGCCACTGGTGGAGCACGACCACGGACCAGCCGCCATGAGAGGAGCCGCAGAAACGCGCCCCGCGGACGGCGCCGGCGAGGGGAGGCTGCGGGCCGGCGATCCCGCCGAAGATCCGGTAGCAGGAGGTCCCGGCAGTGGAGGGCATGAGGAGCCAGGGGAGCGGGGGCGGGTTTTGCAGCGCGACGCCACGCCAGTGCTGGTTGACGGCGGAGAACCTGACCCGGTCGCCGATGCATGCGATCGAGAGGAAGATGCGGCTGAGGATGTCTTGGTGGAGGCCCGACCAGTCGGCCACCGCCGCCGGCGGCGGCATCTGACGTTCGGATCTATGGAACATCGGAACGCACGAAGGGGGAACGGGGCCCTTGCTGCCATGTTTGACAAATTTGTTAGTATACACAACCATCAAACAGAAATGAGAATAAATAGATGTATCGCACCTTCTCTGGTGTCTCAAAATAATTTCTCACCTTTTCAGATCCACGCACCCCTTTGCAGATCCAACCTCTCCCGTTCAAATTCCCATGTCAATCTCCCTCGGTGCCTAGGGTTTCAACGATTTAGACAACGTACAAAAGGAACGACGCAAAATCCATGCAAATGAAAGGGGAGAAGCTTGCCTTACCTCGGGGCGGCAATGGAGGGTGGCGGATGGGAAGGAAACGCGACGGAGCAGCAGGGGCGACGGACGGTGGGGCAAAGGCGGTTTTGGCGGCTTGTCGCTAGATATGACGAGAAGGGGGAAAAGAAAGAACGAGCGGCGGCTCTATGAAGAAAGAGAGAAGACTGAGGGGTCCGCTCGCCTTCAATCCATCTACTCTTGCTGGCATGTTTAACAATTTTTTTAGTATATAAGCATCAAATAGAAATGAGAATAATTAGATGTATCACCTCCCCTGGATGTCCCAACCACAAAATATTTTCTCACCCTTTCAGATCCACACATCCCTTTGTAGATCCAACCTCCCCCACTCAAATCTCCATGTCAATCTCCCTCGGTACCTAGGGTTTCGACGATTTAGACAACATACAAGAGGAACGACGCGAAATCCATGGAAACGAAAGGGGAGGAGCTTCCCTTACCTTGGGGCAGCAATGGAGGGATGTGGATGGGGAGGAAACGCGGCGGAGCAGCAGGGGCGACGGACGGCGGGGCAAGGCGGTTCTGGCGGCTTGTCGCTAGATATGACAATATGGGGGAAAAGAAAGAACGAGCGGGGGCTCTGTGAAGAAAGAGAGAAGACAGAGGGGTCCGCTCGCCTTCAATCCATCTGCTCTTGCTGGCATGTTTAACAAATTTGTTAGTATATAAGCATCAAATAGAAATGAGAATAAACGGATATATCATCTCCCCTGGATGTCCCAACCACAAAATTTTTTCTCACCTTTTCAGATCCACACACCCCTTTGTAGATCCAACCTCTCCCACTCAAATCCCCATATCAATCTTCCTCGGTACCTAGGGTTTCGACGATTTAGACAACGTACAAGAGGAACGACGCGAAATCCATGGAAACGGAAGGGGAGAAGCTTGCCTTACCTTGGGGCAGCAATGGAGGGCTGCGGATGGGGAGGAAAACGCGGCGGAGCAGCACGGGCGACGGATGACGGGGCAAGGCGGTTCTGGTGGCTTTTCGCTAGATATGACGAGAAGGGGGGAAAGAAAGAACGAGCGGCGGCTCTGTCTCACGTGTGGGCTGGGGTCTCGAGGAAACTGCCCTTTTGTCAAATTGAAATATTACAATACCATTTTTTTGTTCATTAATAGTTAATAACTGAGCAGATAACAGCGCCAAGCGGTCAATCAACATAAGACATGTTGTACCGAAAGGGGGTTGAGAGCAAGGCAAACAAAGAAAGGGGCATAAAATCGAAGGCGAACGAACTTGGGGGGGGGGGTGTGTGTTAAAATCAATTCTCCCTACAGAGGACAAGACATAGTTTCATTCACTTCTTCCATGTCTCTCCCGGGTGGGCCGTGGACAGATGGATTAGAGTGTCCCTTAAAATTTAGGCCATATATTATCATCTTCTAACTCCTTATATTTGCTTCTCTGAAAAATAATATTTTAATTGAACCTCCAAAACTTAACTTCTTAAAAAAATACACAAATTTATTTGACAATGCCTAATAGTCCAATCAGTACTTTTTCCATCTCATGTTCATTGTCTACATTGTTGCTCTTCTCTCTTGGCTTCTCGAGCTTGACACTTGTTTCTTCTGTACCTTCTCAAATTTGAACATTGTGTCCTCTGTAGTCTCATCTATAACTACTAGTGCACCAATATCTAGTAGATTTCTCTTTATCAATAGATCAATGTACTCTTTTTTCGCTCTAAAAAAAATGTTCTTTTTTTTCAATAGCAAAACAAACATCCTTTCTACATAAATTTTAATCAAACAATGAGTTTCAAATTGCAACAAATCTTAAGAACATCTAGTAGATTGCACTTACTCCGTCCATTTCAACTTGTAGAAAACCCATCCAGGATGTTTGTCCATGGTCGAGACCAGGCTCACCAACGAGCTACTGGGCGATGGCTGACCCCGGCCAATGGGCGGACGTGGCTATGCCAGCGATGGGCCGACTGGTGAAATGAGAGCGTGAGCGAAAGGTAAGTGAATATTCAAATCCAAAAGGTAGGTGGGTATGTCTAGGATAGCACGCCTGGCCTCTTCATCTTGCTGCAAGATGCATATACTCAAAAAATATCCAAACAACGTCTTACAAAAGGAAGAAATATTCCACATGCCATATCGGTTTTTTGTTACCAAAGCATGACATGAGTATGGAGTAACTCATTCAGAATTTTTTTTATCATGTGAATGCACACACTGCAAGTGCAAAATAATGTAACCATCTTACTGCCCTTATTCGATTCCACTTGTGAAGAACGGTGAGAAATTCAAGCCAAAAGATGAGCAAACACGAGTGTTGGAATTTTTCTATATCTAGCTATACCTCATGGTGTTCCCTCCAATTATCCATCTCTTGGATCAAATTGTTGGAATCCACGTTGATCCTACCATGTATGGAGCTCTACTTCTCTTCATACCCAAATAGAAGGTGGTAACAAGAAAAAAGATCTCAAGCTTTCCTCTTTCTTCCGTCGGTGCCGCTACTGGTCCGCCTCATCTCCGATTGCCTTTGGGCCATGGAGGTCGGAGGACCTCAGCTCCACGCTAACATGAGGGGCCCCGTTTCTTGTTCCTGTTAGGTTCAACGTCATGGTTGGGGGCTGTGTGACGGCAGCGATGTCACTTAGTAGGAATAACATATCCCATGTTCTATCATCACCCCGGTGGTGCGCCTAGCGTTGTAAGGGGGTGTGGAGGTGTGTCTTCATCAGATTTCGCGGGATTCGGTCGGTGTTGGTCTTCTATGGATCTATTTGGATCCGTTCTTTGTTCGTCTTCGCTTGAGTGTTTACAGGTTTGATCCTTCCAATCTACGAGTTCTTCATCGGCGATGGTTGCTGCTCCGGTGCACTGGTCCTACGGGGCCTTAGCACGACGATTTCTCGACTGTCTACTACAACAAAGTTTTCCTGGCTCCAGCAAGGGAGGGACGATGATGGCGGTGTGCATTCGACACAGTTCAATGCTTATAGTCGCCGCTAGGTGGTCCACGAACCCGGATGTAATTTTTATTATTCTGGTGTTTGTTATACCGTCAAAAAATGTTCATCCCTTGGCAAAGGACAATTTAATATGCATGTGATTGAAGATGAATATTAATAATCAGAAGTTTTTCCACCGAAAAAAACAAATAGAGGGTGGCAAAGGACAATTTAATATGCACATGACTCGAACATACCATCCCTGGCAGGCCTCTTTAGGAAGAGAAAATCCAATCTCATTGCACGGCGAAAGATGTCACGTGAGAAATTTTAACTTCTGTTTAGCTCAGTTTGTTCAATTGATCCCTGTCGCCCTCCCCACGGGTGACTCAGGAGGCGATGCAACCCTCGAGCGCTCCCTTCCCTCATCCCCCCTCCCCCTGCCGCCATCGGTGCTCCCCGCCAGGCAAAGCCCTGGCGGATCCGGCGGCGGCGGGACTTCGCTCCCAGGCGGCCTCCCTCTCGAGTGTGGGGCTCGACGAGGCTGACAGAGTTGTGCTTCTCCGGGCCTAGGTTTTCATGACAGTGGCCCCAGATTTAGAGGGTCCGGCCTTTGGACCTGGCGTGGCGAGCACGCGAGCAGTGCGGCGCGACCCTTTGGGGGGTGTGGCTGCGGCTGCTTCACTGTGCCCCGGCGAATCCAGGTGGCGGATGTTGCGGGCCGGTGCGACGACGGCGGCCATGGTTGGTGGCAGCAAAGGTGCAGGTGGCAGGTCCCTGCGACAGCTCCACTAGCCCTGCTCGACGCGTCCCCCTGCGGTGGCTGGCCTTGTTTGGCAGCTATCCGGCAACTACTGCACTACGCTGGCCGGTGCTTCCCTACATCGACGATGTCGATATGTAGTTGCCCTCTCAGTGTTGGTGGTCCTCTCTGGCGATCTGCTTCCCCGTCTCTTGTTTGCTCTACTTCAATGGTATTTGGAGTTTTGGTCTTGGGCCGGGGCGAAATCCCGGTGCAGCGATGGCCTGCACTGACAACGTGGACACCCGAGGGTGTCGTTACCTCCATATTTAGCCCCGGTGATGTGGCAGCTAACTAGGCGTTGAATAGGCGGTCAACTCTTGAAAACCAGTGAAAACCGACCACAAAACTGGTTTGAGGCACACATGGTTGAAAGTTGTCCGGTTTTGAGAGTCTAGGGTTGTAACGTAGATGGTCTTGGAGTTCAAGGTTGTAGATTAAACTAAGGCATGAGTTGAAGGTTGAAATATGCACTTCTCTCCTTGTGTTTTCATAGTGGTATTTTGGCATTCTTTGTTTCAACTAGTGATAGTGAAGGAAATATGCCCTAGAGGCAATAATAAAGTTATTATTTATTTCCTTATATCATGATAAATGTTTATTATTCATGCTAGAATTGTATTAACCGAAAACTTAGTACATGTGTGAATACATAGACAAACAGAGTGTCACTAGTATGCCTCTACTTGACTAGCTCGTTGAATCAAAGATGGTTAAGTTTCCTAGCCATTGACATGAGTTGTCATTTGATTAACGAGATCACATCATTAGAGAATGATGTGATTGACTTGACCCATTCCGTTAGCTTAGCACGATGATCGTTTAGTTTGCTGCAATTGCTTTCTTTATGACTTATACACATTCCTATGACTATGAGATTATGTAACTCCCGATTACCGAAGGAACACTTTGTGTGCTACCAAACGTCGCAACGTAACTGGGTGATTACAATGGTGATCTACAGGTGCCTCCGA